GAGGGGCCGCTGAGCTGCGGGATGTCGTGACTGGACTCAGCCAACACTGGAAACCTCTGGAGAGTCTTTGTTCTTTTCCTGATTTTTCACCCTGTAACTGTGCTTTTGTTAACACTCGGCATCCCTTGCCCTTCCAAGAGCTCCACTTGCCACAGACAGCAGACAGGCCTGCATTGCAACGCACAGAGGAGAAGGGATGAGAGATAAGCTCCAGCTTTGTGCCCCATCCCCACACAGGCTGGGGTTTTAATCCCCCTCCCAGCAAACCACAGACCATCCTGTGACAGAGACAGCCTGCCCTGCAGTGCCTGAGGAGGGGGCTGTCGCAGGAGGATCCTTGCTGCATCCCTGATATGTCTGTTTGTAAAATGGGGGTTAACAGCACACCTGTGAGCCAGGGTGCAAAGCAGTGCCCTCTGCCCCACACCTTGCAGCTTAGCCAGAACTACAGAATCATTGGGGTTGGAAAAGAGCTCTGGAGAGCATCCAATCCAACCCCCTTGCCAAGCAGGGTCACCTGGAGCAGATGACACAGGGACATATCCAGGTGGGTTTGGAATGTCTCCAGAGAGGGAGACTCCACAACCTCCCTGGCAGCCTGTTCCAGTGCTCTGCCACCCTCCATGGAAAGAAGTTCTTCCTTATGTTGAGGTGGAACTTCTTGTGTTTTAGTTTATGGCGGTTGCTCCTTGTCACTGGACACCACTGAAAAGTCCAGCACCAACCTCTTGACACCAGTCTTGGAGATATGTACATGCACTAATGAGAAACCTGGCTCTGAGCTGCTGGGAAGGGCTGGGACTCCACGGGGAATTCCTCTGTGAGTCATGGGTAAGTTTCAAAGAAACCCATGGGATTTAACACGAGCATCTCACAGAGGAAAACAGGCTCACTGAGCCACAGTAGGGGTTATTCCAAGATGAAGGCAGCCAGGAGGGTGGCTGTGGCAGTGCCTGCTCCATGTCCCCAGAGTGAGTGCCTGCTGGCAGCTCTCCCAGTGGGTCGGTGGGGAGGCCAGCTGTCCCAGCACCGCTCCCTCCACTACCTGGCTGGGTCCTGTTGCCCCGGGAGTGGGCCCAGACAGTTATGGGAGTGAGGCAAGTCCTGAAAAATGCTGAGAACCCACTTCACATCACCAGCAAGGCATGAGACAGCACCTTTGCCATGAGGGTTTTTCCAGCTTTTTGTGGCGCCAGAGCTAAGACATGGCACGGCATGGATCCGAGGCTGTGTGTGGGGGGTCTCTGGGGGAGGGTTATGAGCAGAGAGGTATGCTGGGGAGGGCCCAGCTGTTCCCCCAGGGACCCAGAGCAGGGCCAGGAAAATCCTGTGCCCAGGGACACGCCTCCATGCCGGCCACAGGGAGCTGCCTCAGCGGTGGGAAATTCCCCGAGCTGTGGGAGCAGCGGTGCATGTCCCACCTGCAGCTGCTGTAACCACACCAGGGAGTGCCACAGCTCTCCCTGCAGGGCCGGAGGGGGCAAGGGACGTGAGCTCCGGCTGCAGGTGCCTCCCTCTGCCTCCTGCCTGGACATGACCCCAGGGAGCTGTGAAGAACTTGTCTCAGTTGTGGATGCTGCCAGAGTTATGGCACCTTCCCTCGTGAGGGAGAGCAGTGTCAGCATAGGGAGATGCCAGACGAGGGGCACACCTGTCCTGCCTCCAGCTGGAGGACTCACCCGTGGACACCTCACCCAGCAGGCACAGAGCATTTCCCCATCCTACAAACTGTGTGTTGGGGATGGCCAGGACCAGAGCAGTAGAGAAATCTGTCCATGAAGCACTGGAAATTCAAACAACTGCTTAGCTGTCTGCTGGGAGGGATGGTAAGCATTTATTAACCCATTGCCAAGACCTTCCAGCCAGAGCACTTCCGTCAGCACTGCCATGGCGTGCGGCTGGGACCGTGTCCATTGTCAGCCTCTGCTGTGCTCTCGGGACTGTAATTCCTCCAGCCTCATCTCCAGGAGCTTTTCCCCAAGAGCAGAGGAGAAGGCTGTGAAGCCACACTTGCTCAGCCTGTGTGGCTGCTTTCCCCAGCACAGCTCCCGCACGCCACAATCCCATTACCAGCGGGACATTGATCACACACAGCTCAGAGCAAAGGCAGCTGAAGAGCTGTCACAGAGCACAAACCATTTCAGGGGAACCATGGCAGTGACTGGTCAGGATCCTGGAGGAAAAGCCCCCTCAAGTCAGTCCCCACCAGGCATGAACCAAAAGAGCCTGGGTCAGCCAGAAGGGGTTTCAGTGCATCACCTGTGACACACCCACATACCAGTGCTTGCTGAGCTTGTTTCTCAGCCGCTGATAAGATGAGCAGTATAATGCTAAAAACAATTGCAGATCACCCAATCTCCCGACTAAAGCCCATAATTAACCCAAAACCCAATGGACTGTGGGGTTACCCAGGAGCAAGTATTTGCACGGGATTCTCAAAGTTGCTGCATATTTGCAGCAAGGTTTTTTGGCTTGCTCTTGGCCAAATTCCTCACGGGAAAACCCCAGGGTGAGGCGAGCTGGTGGAATTCCCACAAACAGTTGGCCCTTCTAGGGCTGAATTTGAGCCACTACTCACCCTGCATCTGCTGGTGGGGAACACCCCTCTGCTGACGGGGAATAAAAGCCAGGTTGTGGTGCTTGGCACCCTGGGTAGGGAGAGCTGGAGGTGGCCACCCAAGGGGCACCTTCTGAGCGGGAGGAGAGAGAAGGTGCTGCAGTTTTACCTGTGCAGTGATGGGGCAGTGCTTGTCCACTGCACTCAGACAGGCCCTGCACGTCCTACTGGCTGTGGAGTATCTCCCAGAGACTTGGGAACTGAGGGCGTGGAACAGTGTTTGACTTCTGGAGGGACACCTGATCCTGGGGTACACACTGGGCTTCTCCTTCTAGCACTTTCCAGCACTTGTTTGCTGCAGTGGCTAAGACTTCTCTCCCATTCATCCCTATCTGCTCTTTACAAAGGCTTCTTGTTTTACCAAGTGTTGGGTTTTTGTTTAGTTTTTTTTTTTCAACGTGTGATTTAATTCACACAAACTCCTTCCTATTCTGACTATTGATCTTGGCTCCTTACTGGTTAAAACAAAGTAAATCTTTCATAAGCAGGTTCTGACAACGCAACTTTTGTTCCTTCCAGACACAATTTCCTGTTTAATTTCCTGACTGTTTCTTACTTGGTAAAGGAAAAGTTGTAAATTGCAAGATTGCTTCAGAGACCTTCCTCTGACTTTAGGTGAACCGTTAACCACTTGCAGGAGAGAATCCAGCAAACCAGCGTAAAACTTTAAAAAATCCTCGATTTCTTTTATTTCTTCTGTGATTCTCACTGAAAGGAAACAAGCTGGGGGGGGGCGGCAGAGGCGGGGAAAGAGGTTGGAATAATTTTCCTTGGAAAATCAAACAGGAGTAACTCTGCTTCCAGATGAGTTGATAATTGCTCTTTCATCACTCAGCAAACCGTCTCTGATACATGGGCTGTGCCTCTGCGGTCCCAAATGTGGGTCCCGGACATCTCCCTGCATGGACGCTGATTCTCGCTCCCAACACTCCTTTAAAATCCCGAGGGACGCCATGCCGGGCTGTGACCGCGGTCACAGTGACCAGCTGATCCAGCTGCAGATTCCCGGATCACCGAAGCGCTGGCTGTGCACGGAGCCTCGTTAGGGTTAATTAACGTGGGCTGGCGCCGAGGAGCGTCTGGCAGGGAGGGACAGCGGGACACGGTGACATCCAGCAGGGGCCGTGTGACCTAGCGCAGGAGAGCAACTGCTCAGATCTCCTGCCAGCCCCAATCCTGCCTGGAAGAGCCTTGAAATCTGGCACAGGTGGCACAGTGCCACAGCTCCAAAAAGCATGGATGGAGCCACAGCCAGGACCACCTAGGACAGCCCCTGGCGTGGCTCGTGGAGGGCACAGCCAGGTCCAGGTCTCCTCCACCTGGCTCAAACACTGAAAGTCCAAACTTTAAGTAAGATGAAGAAAATGAATTGAGATGGGAATGCCACTTTTGAAAACATTTGTATTTGATTTGCTCATTTCATGTGGCTTCATTCAAATTTCAACTTTGCCTAGAAACAAGAGATTAAGTGATTGCTCCAGCAGGGATGCCCAGGCAGGGTACAGCGGGAAGCCTCAGCATCTCCTGGCCCTGTTTCAGAACCACGAAGCCTCTGCATGGCAGAAAACACCATTTCCTACAGCCAGTGCTTGGGAATGGATAGAAAATGGCTTCAAGAAGGGACCCACCTTCTCCTAGCCCAGCTGGCAGGTGTTCTGGGTACAACCTTTGGCAGCATCTCAGCTCAGTGCTGTGACACCAGTGCAGAGGCCACTGCCTGCTGGAGAAGACAAACGTGGTTGGCAGCCGAGGAGCTTCTCCTGCCATCTGACAGGGCTGGCGGAACAGGGAAAGTCCAAACACTCCCGGCAGCTGAGACACAGACAGTCAAAATTAACTCTTGATCACATGATGGAAATGTGGTGTGGGATGAGGGGCTTCCAGTGGGGTGAACGGAGGTGGTGGGCGCCTTGGTCCCCCCAGGTTCTTCCCGACAGCTGCTGTCTGAGCCCCCCTGGGAAAAGAAAAAGCAAATTTCACTGCAGAAACTGAGAAACGGCAAAACTTCATGATGGAGGTGTAAAGCTTTTTTTGGTTCTCATTTCTGGGAGGACAGCGTGGGCTGAAGCTTCCCCTGCCCTCTTCACCCTCTCACCCGAGGGCTGGGAAAGCACCCGGTGCAACCTACTGCTGGGTTCTCTCCACGGCCACATGCAAACCAAGGCCAAAGCAGGTGATCCCACAGGTCAGCAGTGCCAGGAATGTGCTGGGAGAGCAGCACAGCCTCTGCAGGAGCACCTCCACTAGATCCAAGTGGTGGGGATGAGAGATGAGAAGGCCAGCCAGGCATACACAGGGAATACCACAGGCTCAGCTGTTTCCCTTCCCCTTTTTCCCAACTACTAGAATAAACTAAATTCCCACCTGGCTCCATCCCCTCCCTGGCAGATATTTAAAAACAGGGAGACGAGTGCGAGGGTGGCTGGTAGCAGGAATGTCACTCCTCAGGGCCCCCCGTGTTCCCAAGGGAACATGCACATCTTGCAGGGCTGGGCCCAGGGACCCTCCTTCCCTGTGTTCCAGAGTAGGACAAGCTCATGTTGCAGGAAGAAGTGCTCAGCCCCAACATCACACTGCTCTTCCCAAGCACACGGGCTCCAGCTTGGAGGCTCATGGGGAGAGGGCAGGAAGGGCTCCTGGGGTGAATACCTCCTGTGAAATCACAGTGTTTCCAGGCTGAGGGTTAGGGTTTGAACAAAGGCTTTCCTACCAGGCAAATGGGAAGGTGAGCACAGAGAGGAGGATCCTCTCGCAGTGCACCAGCTAAAGCAGTGAGTTACAACCTCTTTTTGACCTGTGCACACCAAATTTTCCCCCAGCTACACTTCCTATAAAAGTGTTTCATCCCCCATCCCCCTCCTCATTTACAGAACAAAAATATTCCCTGGGCAGACAATAAAATCCCTGTTAAGAAATTCCAGGTCCCTTCACACCTCTTGCTCTGTGTCCCAGAGCTGCAAAGAGAAGGAAGTGGCTGCCATATGAGGTTCAGGCTGATGGAGAGACGGGGGACCTGGTGTGTGGCTCCAGCCACAACCACCCTGGTCACCAGCTCTCCCCAGTGCTACATTGCTTTTGCCCTCCAGCAAGTTGGATTTTTCAGTGTTTTGCCACCGTAAGACTCCTCACTCCTGAATCTTGGAATTTTTCACCTTTCAGCTTCCATGCCAACCCATATTCGGATTCCACAGGCAATGGTTTCGTTTGGTTTTCTCCCTGTGTCTTTGCCTTAGGGACGTGCCACATACAGCTGAGGGTTGAGCTGAGCTTACCTGGGCAGCTGAAGGTTGGACTTGGCCCACCTTGGAGCACCCTGCAGCTGGCAGAGCACACTGCTGATATCCAGTTTCCTAGGGTTGGGAAACTTTTTTTTAAGCAGATTAGAAAACAAAAGCATCTTTACTACGTGATACCTTGGCCTTCATGGAGTTCCCCTACAGAACAGGCCCCTGCTGCCCCCTGCCCTGGAGCTGGGCAGGGCCATGGCTAGGCTGGCTTGTCCCTCTCCCCAGAGCCCAGAGTGGGCAGTGAGGAGGGTGTTTTGCCATGAGGCTTCCCTGATCCATGTAAACCGTCTGGAAATGGCAGGACTGAGGGAGCTCAGTTTCACAGCTGCCCCATGTGCTGTGACTTCCAGAGGTCACGCCCCTGCAAGCGTGTGCCTTTCCACATCGCACCTCTCCTACCCCAGGTGCTCAACCGAGTTCCACAGCAGTCGTCACATCCTTCTCCCTCTGCTCATTGAATCCTAAACCTTGCCCTGGCAGATGCCAGTCCAGCCTGGGCTCCTCAGACCCCATCCCAATTTCCTGGACTGCTCTGCCCAGCCTTGAGCAGCATTACTGGGTTTCTCCAGCAGCCTTTGCACCTCCTCATCTCAGCTCGTTGTCTGAGAGGGTACAAGTTTCCCCCTTCTCTGGCTGCTCCTTCCCACTGTCTCCCTTCCTATTGTCCCTATTCTCCCTCGTAAGCTCCTAAGTCTTGCCCACCCTGTCCCCTTGTCCCTCAGATGCTGCCACAAGGGAAAATGGCAACTCACCAGCATTTAGGTCCTCTCCATCCTGAGTAGGGGCCTGCATCTATGGGGTCTGCAGCAAATTTCCAGCTTGCATCCTGGGGCAGGATCCTCTCCATAGGGCAGGTTGTGCCCTGGGACAGGGAGCTTGGATACTGATACCAGTGACATTCCCACCAGGAGCTTCTAGTGTTCCCATAATGTCCAACCTTGAGATAAAAGACCCGTATGGATCATGGGTGCACCACCAGCACTGCAGCACGTAGACAGACAGTGGGGCCTCCACTGAGCCTGTAGGGGACTCACCTGAGCTTGCAAGAAGGTTTCCTGGGCGGTGGAAGATGCTGTGGAGGACAGGAGGGCTCAGGGGGCTGGGTGGTGAGGCCGTGAGCAGGAGCTGTGCTGGAGGGGCCCAGGAGCATCCCTCGGTGTCATGGGCTGCCCACAGCAAGGACATCGCTGCACAGGGGATGCACCTCCTGGCTCACACACCGCTGGTGGCCCAGGATTCCCTGGGACCAGAACACAGACCTGATCCAGGGAATCTGACCTGCACACAAGGAAAGAAGAGGCCTGGGAGAGCTGGAGCAGCACTGGACTGCCTGTGTCCAGGCACACCCCTGCAGGGTACCCCGGGGCAACCAGCCCCATCTGCACCAGTATCCCACCATGGAGCTCAGCTCAGCTGCAAGGCACTGGGCTGGTATCATCCCACTTTGTGCTGGGGTCTGAATCCAAAAAATCCTTAAATAGGTGATTGCAGGAGAGCAGACACAGCCTGTATCATGGAGCCATTTAAGGCAGGAGACAGTCTCTGGACATGGAAAAACTCAGCAGCTGGAATTGTGCCAACCTCCCCCCCTGAAAAACATTCCTGTGGAGGGAGGGTTCAGCTCCAGGGTCAGAGGGGGAGGCTGGGGGATCTCTTGGCAGAGAAACGAAGCCAGAGCCATAACTGTGCTATGTCACCCCTGTGGAGTGACATGGGAGGGATGCAGGGGAAGAGCCCTACCCAAAGGACAGGATGAGGTGCAGGATCCATGTGCATCCTCACAGACCCAGGCAAGCTCAAACCTGTAGCAGACTGTGCTGTTTAGTTATTTTGAAGCCTATTTCTGTAGCACAAGTGATGGTCCCACCCCACAGAGAATCAGACACACCTGGAGGCAGCTCCAAGCTGGCAGTGGGGGCGCAGTGCCCAGGATAGTTTGATATTCGAATATCTCCAGTGGAGGTCTAGATCAGCCCCAGCTATTTTAGTCCCAGCCTGTCACCTTTTCCAGCCTTCCTTCCAAAAAGCTTTAGCAGTGTATTCAAACATTCAGAGCCCAGCAGACACTAAACAAATCCCCAGTGGGGTCCTTTTGCAAAGGGCAGGGGACAGCCAAGCCAACGGGTCCTCAGCATACCCAAAGCTTGTAGTGCCATGGCATCCAGCTCCTCATTCCTGCATTTCAGCAGAGGGGCTCAAAGCACTCACCATCTTACAGCCTCTCCAGAGGCCAGTGGCGCTTGAGAACACGTAATCATGAGGTGAGGGAGGTGTTTTGGCATGGAACCCAGAGGGGGAATTAAGACGCTCACAAACAGCTTTTGCATCCTTGACCTTAGCTACCACTTGTCCCTGCCAAGAGAGCTCCACTGGCCACATAGCCCCAGGAGGGCTGAGAGATGACCTGAGCAATGACTCCACAGCACATGTTCCCCTCTGTCCAGCAGGGACTGACAGTGACGTGGCAGGTCCCGTGGTGGGTCCTGCCTGTTTTGCAGGCAGAGGAGTCATTCATCTGCAGGCAAAGTCTGGGCCACCTGGGCAGGGCTCAGCTGCCCTTTGGACTGTGGGCGGTGCATTCACACGTGGCTGAGCACACACTGTCCCCTCCCAGGGGACACAGGGCCAGCACAGCAGTGGCAGCCGCTCCTCCTCAGAGCACATTTGGGTCCCCCAGGCACCAAATGGGCTCTGGGCCCTGTGGGTCTTGGCACTGGGTCAGCACTGCCAAGGGTGCGGAGCCAGTGCCAGGGTGATCCCCTTATCCAGTGGCTGAGCATCCCATGGGGAGCTACAGCTGCTGCTGTGGCAGCTCCTGGAGGGTTTTGCTTTGCTGCCACCATGGCTGGCATCACCCAGCATGGCTCAGGGGTGCTGCCAGTCACCAACCAGAGCAGGTTCCCACCCCTCCCTGATTCCAAGGGGGACTTTGGTGGCCCACAGCAGAGACTTCAAGGGACACAAGGAGTACCCCTCACCTATATTCTTTCTCCCCCTTCCACTGGGGCTTCCAGATGGACCTGATCACATGGAAGCAGCCTTGTGCCCCAGCCCAGCCTGCTCTTCCTGGTCCCCAGAGCATCACAGATATGCACAAGACCCCAGGGCCAAATCAAACCAAACCTGCTGTCACCACTCCCAGCAAGAGCACAGCACTGCCTTGCCAGTGCCCATGGGTGTCCCTTCTCCGTAGTGGCTGTGGCACTTCTCAGGGGACCAGGAGTGGCATACTGCCCTCTCAGATTTCCTCATGTGTCCTAGCTTTACTCCATGACTTTAGGAGAAGGACATTTTGTTAAAATCTCAAGTTCCCAGGCCCTGGGCATCAAGGCAATGCCAGCAATCACAGGAGCTGGCAGAACTCCCTGTCCCTGTGGGCACCCACTTGTGCATATGGAGGCACGCACAGCAAAGGATGGGGCTAAGGGCTTTTAGGTAGGGTAGCTAAAACTGAGTCCAGCTCCATCCTGTCCTGGAAGCTGCTGGCATCACCCTCAGCATGGAGTACCTGCACAGGGTGAGCAGCTGCTCCTACCCTGCGGAGGAAGTACAGGGATATGGGGCTGGGAGGTGGCACATTTTAGATGGCACTGTGCTGTGGCTCAGTCTGAGGCCCTCCCGAAAGGCACACCAGGAGTGTGGGGGTTACCTGCTGCTCTGCACGTATCTGGATGAGGTGGGATCCTGTTTGGAGAATCCCCTGTGGCAGGCACTGGGGTGAAAACAACCTTCAGCTCTTTTGCCTGCTCCCACCGTGACAGGACAGCCACAAACCCCCCTTCCCGAAGCACAAACAGGGCAGTGTTTGGGGCTGCTTTACCCTGGGCTGAGGCCTCTCAGTTGAGGCCAAAGTAAGCAGCTCCTCAGCAGCAAGCACCTCTCCGGGGCTGGGAAGGCTCTGACCTGAGCACAAACAAACACAGAGTTAGGGAAAACACTTCTGGCCTCTGTGAAACCTCCCTGCATCCCTTATTATGCCCCTGTCCCCTTGCTACACACTAACTCAGCCCCTTTGGCTTGGGAATGGGCAGTGCAGGAGACGGATGTCCTTGTAGAGCTGCATCTCTCAGCCCTGCTCAGCCACGACTTCTCCCTTCCCACATCCTGCTCCACTCTCGAGGGTGCCGGCAGGCTCCGGGAGCAGGACAAGACTGAGCTGTGAGCAGGCAGGAGCTTCAGGGAAGGGCACCGTGTGCTCATACCATCACACCCAGACTCCCGACCTGGCTGCTGTGGAGTCTGGTTTGGCCAGAAAAGCAGGTGCCTCGCTGGGCTGGAACGGGGAGCGGGGCTTGCAGCACAGGCTGGGGTCACGTATCCAGCAGCAAGGCTGGACAGGCAGGGGGATGTCCAAGCACACAGAGGACCCGGCCAAATCCCACCGACCGGCTGTGCCCTCTCCGTGGCCATTTAAGAACAGCACGTTGGGGCTGCAGGAGGACAGCCCTTCGCCATGGTGTGGGCCCACGGCAGGAGCATCCCTCCTTCCCGCCGGGCCGTTTTGGAAGGGGGGGCAGGCAGGAGCGAGGCAGCGCCCAGCACCCCCCGGCAGCAGCCTGCGTGTGGGACCCGGGCCGTGGCACTCGGGATGGGCAGCTCCCAGCACGGAGCTGGGGTGACCCGTGATCCCACCCGCAGCCGGCTGCGGGGAGCAGCAGCTCCCTGGGAGCGGGGAGCGCAGCCCGGGGCGGGGGTTCCCGGCGGGGTGTGACGGTGCCCGGCGCTGCCGGACCCCGGGCCCGCCCGGCCCGTCCCATGTCCCGCGGCTCCGGCCGGCAGGGGGCGGCCCCGCGCGCCCGGCGGCCCCTGCGCGGCGCCGGCAGCGGCGGGGGCGGCGCGGCCCGAGCGGGGCCCGAGCGGGGCCGTGTCTGCGGGGCCCCCCCGCCCGTCCCGGGGCCATGGAGCCGGTCCCCGCGCGGCGGTGGCAGAAGGTGTTGTACGAGCGACAGCCCTTCCCCGATAACTACGTGGACCAGCGGTTCCTGGAGGAGCTGCGGAAGAACGTGCACGCCCGGCAGTACCGCTACTGGGCCGTCGTCTTCCAGTCGGGAGCGGTGGTGCAGCAGCTGTGCAGCGTCTGCGTCTTCGTGCTCACCTGGTGGTACATGGACGCCGGGATGCTGAGCCCGCAGGGGCTCTTTGGGGCGGCCCTGGTGTCCTCGCTGCTCGGCTACGTCCTGTTCGACGCCGTGGACGGCGGGGCTGGGCGGTGGGAGAGCGGGCGGACACGCTGGGATGACCTCAAGAGCACGCTGGTGTTCGCAGCCTTCACCTACGGCTTCTCGCCCGTGCTGAAGACACTGACCGAGTCCATCAGCACGGACACCATCTACGCCATGTCGGCCCTCATGCTCCTGGGCCACCTCATCTTCTTCGACTATGGCGCCAACGCCGCCATCGTGTCCAGCACGCTGTCCCTCAACATGGCCATCTTCGCCTCGGTGTGCCTGGCCTCGCGCCTTCCCCGCGCCCTCCACGCCTTCGTCATGGTCACCTTTGCCATGCAGATCTTTGCCCTCTGGCCCATGCTGCAGAAGAAGCTGAAGGCCCGGACGCCCCAGTGCTACGTGGGGGTGACGGTGCTGTTCGCGCTGGCGGCGCTGGCAGGACTGGCCACCATCTCCAGCGTGGGTGCCGTGCTCTTTGCCTCGCTGCTGCTCACCATCTCCTGCCTCTGCCCCTACTGCCTCATCCGCCTCCAGCTGCTCAAGGACAACATCCACGGGCCGTGGGATGAGGCTGAAATCAAGGAGGACCTCTCCAGGTTCCTCATGTAGGCCTGGCCTGGAGGAACCCTCTGCTGTGAGCAGTACAAAGGTCCTTGCTGGGGGACAGTCGTGGGCAGGAGAACATCTGACCCAATAAAGCCTCTCACACAGCAGCAAGGACCATGTTTATGTTCTCTTCAGCATCTGTTTCCAAACCTGACTTGCTTGGGTTTGGTGAGGAAAGGAGCTGAGCCCCACAGAGCAGCTGGTCCCTGCAGCAGGTCGGGGTGCAGACGAGCAGAGTGGTGTCTGCTCTGGTCATGCAGACCCATACCTCAATTTGGGCGTGGGGGAACAGAGGGATGTGCATCCCCTGAGCAGAAACACCACTTGGAAACGCACACCTGGCTCAGATGTGCCCCACGGGCCCTCAGTGTGTGCACTGCGGACTGACAGCACTTCCCCGGGGGGCTGGAGGGGAAGGGGCTGGTGAAGGTCACTGCGGGCAGGGTGGAGGTGCAGGGTGGTGGGTGCTGAGGGACCTGCAGAACTGAGCACAAGGGCACCTGGGATGGGTGTGGTGCACAGCCCTGCTCACCTGCACCCTGACAGTCACTGGTGCCAGAATAGCTTCATGACACTGCCAGATACCACACTATCCTAAATCCTTTGGGAGAGGAGGGGATGAGAGGGCATGATGCCTTCCTCTCTTCTCTTTTTTCAGAGGCAAATGAGGCCTCGCTGCAGGGCCAAACCCTGATCCAGAGGGATGGAGCTCAGCACAGCCCCCCATGGGTGCAACCCCAGCTGGTGAGATGCCGCTGCTGAGACAGCGGGGGAGGTCTATCAAGATCTCATCTGGCACCGTCTGTCAGGTGTCCGTCTGTCCGTCACCGCTCACACCGCAACAGAGGGCGCTCCTGGCAAACAAGTCTCACTGGAGGCCAGGCCAGGACAACCGGACCCCGTGCCGGGAGGGCCTCCCTGGCACTTTCGCTTTCCCTGCTCCCATCCGGCACCTTCCCTCGGCAACCCCAGCCCTGCTCCGGCCACCCAGGGGAGCAAAACCCTCCTGAGCCAGCACTGCCAGAGGGAAGGGATGCCCATACTCTGCCCCAGCCTCATTGCACAGGGATACGTTTGGTATCACCCTGGTTTTTACGAAATTCTTCTCTTTTGGAAACCCAGCACTGCAGAAGTGCAACTTTCTGCTCGATTTACCCCAGCCCTGCGAGCACCAGGGTCTCATCCTATGGAGCAGGCGCTTGCCGCGTTCCTCGGGTTTTCTCGGAAATGAGCAACCCCCGGCGGAGTCCCCAACACCTCCAGTGCTTTGTTACAGCTCCTGCCAAGTGTTAAATGTTGCTGTGGTCGTCATGGTGACAACTACATCTCATTTTAGTTTTAATTAAAACCTGCAGCAGTTTGGAGCCCATGCTCCAGTCTCACAGGGAACAGAGTAGCCAGATGTCAGAGTCAAGATGACATTTTTTAGGCCTTTGGAAAGGAGACTGGTTTTTTTTCACAGGGAGGTTTCCCAGATTGCTGCTCAGTGACCAGGATGCCCCATTTGACCCCGGACTAATGCCAGTGTAATGCTGCCATCCAAAGCTGATTCACAGAGCCCACTGATAGGACACAGCTCGAGTGTAAATCAAAACTCAAATCTCACCTGCCCGGCCCCTGTCTATCACTGCAGAGGCTACAAGAAAGCAGAGTTTCTGCTGCACCCATTCCCCTAAGAAGAAATATTTCCTCAAAAATACTTTTCCCAAATTCACATTCTAAAATCAGCTCTGGGTTAGGAAAAGCAAATCTTGACCACACAGACATTCCAGGTGGAGATGGGCACAGGCTGCCATCACCTCAGCCAGAGCACGAACCCAGTGGATCACCTGTGCAAATCCCTGGGCTGTGACTGATGCAGCAGGCCCCATCCACCCAGCTCTAGGTGGATGCAGGCTGTGTCCCATCCAGCCCAGCCCACCACAGACAGATTCATCTCTGCCCACAGCCACAAGCCTCTCTGCTCTGCCCAGCTCCTTCCCTTCATCTCCTCCTTACAGTCAGTCACAGAATTCTCAGATTAGACTAGCAGAGCCTCAGTGCTCGCCCAGAGATTGGCAGGGAAAGGCTTAGCCCTCCCCCTTGCTTGCCCACACAGATACCCTGCTCTCCCTAAGCTGGGGGATGAAAATATAAATCCAGTCCATGGCCTGGATGCACAGAGGGACACTGAAAGAGGAAAAAATGCGAGAGAGCCAGGGAGAGGAAAGGAGGAGACACAGAGGCCAGGCAGGGTTTCCCTGGGACTTCCCTGACCTTCTCCTGAGGACACATGCTCTGCAGTGCTGCTTAAGTTATTTAAGCTGCTGCATAAATGGCCATTATGGGTTTGTCTACATGCCTGAGGTCAGAGTATTCTCTACACAACAAAATTTTGCCATAACTCTACGCCCATCCAGTAAGGCTGGATGCCCTTTGGCCATTTGCTACCTGAGCAAAGCATTCCCTGACAAAGCCCACACTGAGACCAAAAACATAGGTCCTCAGTTCATGATGCAACCAATGTATGGTAAAGAGTTAAATGTTGTTTTGCATTATGAGGAAGTTTCTTTGCCTTAAGTTTCTGAGTCCACTGAGATCAGTCCTTCAGTGGGACATTGCATTTGATTTGAAGCTGGCCAAATGTGTGTAACTGAAGTGGCTGGGGATAAGCCTTGCTCCTGGGGGAGCTGCTGACACGTGCAGTCTGGAATCCTCATCTACAGCCTCTGCTGCAGGGAAAGACAAGTGTCAGCCACCCACACCGTGCTGTCAGGGGGCCATGTCCCTCCCCATGTGGGAGACTAGATCTGAGAAGCCTGGAAAGAGCAAAGCTTTAGTCTTCGAAGGTAAGATCCTTGTATCTCTTCAATTCCCACAGCAGTCACTCAGTTGTTTTCAACTTTGTGATGTGAGAGGCAACAGCAACAACATGAATCATCAGGAAACCAAAACAGGATTTTGGTCCTAACCCACTCACTGAAAAGCAGCCTTGGACACATAATGGCACCAGCTGGTGCAGCACCCTTATCCTCCTCTACCTGGCCACAGATCAAACACCAGTGAGGGCTGGAAACAGCACAGACAAGGTTAAACAGCTTCTTCAAAAAGTCACTCCATGAGCTGATGCTAAAGAAGACTCCAGGGTTTCCCAGTACACCAGTACCCATGTCTTTCTACTTAGGATATTTTAGAAATGGCCACCAGCAACCCATGAAGTTTGGAGTCCTATTTTCAACAATATTTTTTTATCAAATATTTCCTAAGAAGGTAAAGATCTATGTCAAGGGTTTACCACCATAAAATGTCCTGAAAAACAAGTTTGTTCTTTCCAGCCTAATGCCTGGAGGCCCTCTGGCAGCCAGGTGCTGTAGGCAAGGCCATTCAGCTAAAATATCATCTACCTTTTATTTATTGTTGGTTCATCTGTTGGTACCATGTCATACCCCAGAAGGAATACAGTGAGAACTTCCCCCAGTGCAGAACAGACTTTTAAACAACCTGGAAAAAAAGCAGCTTGTGAAGTTCAGCCTGTTCCCATTCCCTCTTACCTGAAAGGTGAAGCATGGGCAGAACCTCCTCAGGAGCTTGCTGAGTACAAGCACTGTTGCTTCTGTAGTAGTTCCCCAAAGTACACAATTCCTGAACTCTGCTGAGGTGCTTTTTGCCTCAGTACCTGATGGTGACGAGTTCCACAAATGAGAGATACAGCCAACCTGAGCAACTCCATCCTGGGACAGTTGGGTTCCTGGGGTTGTAGGAGCCTCCATTTCTGTCTTTCCCAGGGTGCACCCTGCC